CCCAGAGCCTTTCCCAACATTTTTACTTTCAAAATAAAATTTGCGAGCTTTTCATTAGTGGTTAACCATATAGAAATCTCGTCAGTCACAGGAATATGGAATCTGTCTCAGTAATACAGACAATCTTACGCTAAATTTAAGGGCAGTACCTGTTCCCGTGCCCTCAGTTTAATCCTAACAGACCCCTACCTTAACTCCCCCATAATTTAGCTCAAGCCCGTCAGTGTCATGTGTGGAGGGGGAAGGGTATATACTCGCAATAACCCCAAATCATCGAAACGCGTGGCTGCTTCTAAAACATCTTTCAGAGAAAGACGACTCGATCGCTGGAACAGTACTTTTATTCGCCTGACGTTTTGAGATCCGTCGCGGAGTTGTAATCAGAGACATAGTCGGAGAGCAGTAGCAGATAATAAATATTTCATTGAGAAAAAGAAGATGCGATCGCTGGGACAAGATTTTATTTGTCTGACGTTTCGAAGTCCGTCGCGGAGTCTTCTTCTGAGACACTTGCATAAGCAGTGGTAGATGCAAGTAATTAATGCACAGGGAGTTGCTGTGTTTACAAGAATAAAAGTCTTTTCCCAGCGATCGCATCTTCGTCGTTTCAATTACTTCCTGGGACTCGCCTGCTCGCTTGTATTGGCAGCATATTTCATGCCAAAGAAGAGGCCAGAGAACACCAACTGGCAGTAGTGTCCGTAAGACGGTTACTACAAAATCCCCTTCCATTTGCAAAATGATTTGAATCGATTTGTCATTCCGTCAGTTGAGTATAGAGGCTCATATTGCAATTCACCTTCAAGCTGATCCGACTTAGCTGTGATTGATAACCCTCTGATGTGCGTGGCTAGGAGTAGTTGAAGCACGGTCTCCAGACCTGTCCAGGTTTAGTATTAAACATTCTTCTCAAATATTTTTTCCGGAAGTAATCTGCCTTTGTCTCCGCAGCAAATTTCAGAGTTAATGTCGCAGCACCCTGTCAGGTTCATCTTTTACAATATTTCAATATACCTCCTTAAGACTGTACTGTATAGGTTATTATCGCCTTTATCTTCAGTACAAGGCCGTAGATCTAGCAGCACTAGGCATGAAGCTGATTAAAAAGTCCTCTTAAAAGTCATTTTATCCCGTTTTTAGTCCTAATAAAGAACCTTACCTCGTTAACTTCAATTTGATGTACTTCGATAGCAAGAGGGGCAAACTGCCCTTTCCCATCTTAAAATGGCCCTTAAAAAGTTTCAATAGTAGATGCCATGAGAGTGTATCTCGTATGCGTATAGACAGTAAGGTAAAAGACATCTATGCTAGTTTCGAAATAAATCAATCCGTGCACAAATCGCCTGTGCAAATTTGGGACAACCGCTTCGAAAGACCAGAGAAAAGGGAGCGGAGACGATACTGCCTTATACCTTATTGCCGCATTTATTTCCAATTCAACCCATTACAAACTTTTCTTCCTTGCGATCGACTCCTTGAAAAGCGTATTCAAGTTTACGTAAGTGGGAAACAGTAACGTTTTATAAAGGATGCATTTACACGCACTTGGACATGTCTTAGCGAACCTGTGGGCTGATTCCTTGTTTGGTAGAACGAAGAGGGGGACCATCAGTTAATGTCAAAGAAAAGGCTCCCAGGATCCAACCGGCGCTTTCTCGCATCAAGTTTGAATTCGTTTTGATTGCCAAAAAGGCCTGTTGTCGATATTTCGAAAAAAAGTATAGTTAAGGTTTAGCCACTTAAATCGCCTCACATGAAGTGCTCGCCATTTAAATTTTGACAGGCAGACTACAGTTTCTAACTTAAAACACTGTCAAATTCTGTTACGGTCAATTACCGGGGCTTGCTTACTTGAATAAAAAGTTTTGTTTCTTCAAAACTTGAACTGGGACGAAAAAGCCGAATACTGCTTTGCTGTCAGTGGGTTCACGCGTTGAAATAAAATGCAACATAAATATTTGCTCACTCAGGTCCAGCCACCTGTTTACTTGGGCATGCCAGTTAATGGAATCAGCTCAATCACCCTTAATAAACATTTTTTGTAATAATTCACTCAGCAATTAATTTCCCGGTGTGATGATTGTTCCGTAATTCCGCTTGGCTCTTCAACTAGGCTCAATTTGCAGACTTACCTTCTGCTGTAAGGTTATTTTTTGCATAAAAACTGGGAACTGAAGGGGAAACTAAATTTAAAGAGAATATATATTTGAGGCAGAAATACATTACCGACAAAGAGAAAGGGGACTGAGATGACATTTTCTAGCTTGTTAACCGTCATCAGTCAGCCATACCCACCCCAAAAGTAATGACCCCCTAGACTGGGACCCACGACCTTGTTAGTTTGAAGTCCAACACTGGCGTATATTGTAGACAGAAGTAAATTAACCGCTGTTGCCGGGGTTCGATAGCGAGCTCTAATGCACTGCGGGACGAGCAAGTTCCGTAACCGATCGGTGTACGCCTATCTAAAATTGTATATAGTCTTGATCGACACCGGCAAAGCAACTAGCCCGTGGTGCAGTAGTTAGGACGATTGACTTCTGGTTAATAAGGCCGCTGATTCGAACCTCTGGGGTCGTCACCCCTGGGGTCGGGTATGGCTGAGTGATTACGGATAACAAGCCAGAAATGACCATTCCAGTTTTCCTTGTCTTTGTAAGCAAATAATTTCGTTGATCGGTTGCTGGCGGGGCTCGAGGGTGAACTCGAAGACAGAGCGGGACGAGTGATTTCTGTAGCCAATCGGTGAGAACCTATCTGAAATTGTACATCTATTTATGTATTTTGGTATACTTGCTTCTGAGGTTAGTCCTCTTCTCAGTTTTCGACTGCATGCCCACAGTATGACAACAAGTAACACCTTGAACAATGTTAACTCGTAGTTTAAAACTGTGTTTATATCTTTCCATCGCTAGTTTGATTAAACTATCATAAAACAATGCGCTTTTTTTGTCGTCAAATATCTTCATCCCCTCAGTGAGGAAGTATCATTCAGATTAAAGGGTACTACGCTGTGCGGCCCAAAGCGACCGTTTTGTAGGCCTTGTGAAAAAAACATGGGCGTGATAGACTGATTTCGTCTGCAATCGCGTTGAAGCAGAAACAACAGCAGCAGGGTCGATAACGCATCATACAGTCCCGTTACCGTCTCCACTACACAGCTGTCCGAAAATCGTACAAGGGATTTGGGCTCGCATTTATTTGTACGGAAACCGGCACACACATGTTCTACCTTGCTCTATAGGCGTTTTGAATAACGTAAAATTTTAACTTGTTAGATGAAGTACACTGGGTGTCATTGGCCAAAGTTGCTGATTGGATGTGATATAATTAATAGTACAAGGGAATACAGTTGATTTCTGTACGCTATAAAAACGTCTTTCGAAAGCACACGAAACGGCCAACATATTTGTTCGCTTGAGGAGTCATGATGATTTTTGTGCACTCTTGTGCCTCATAATTGCTGGAGTTTTGTATAGATCTACTATCGGAAACTTTTCGGAGTCATTGTAAGAAGGGAAAAGGGCAGCTTTCTCCTCCTGCTATGGATGTACATAAAAATTGAAGTTAAAAAAGTAAGTTAAAAAAGTAAGGCTCTCTATTGGGACAGAATACGGGATAAAAGAACTCAGAAGAGGACTAGTGCATACGCTACCCGTATCTGCTACTGCTCTCTGATTATGTCTCTGATGATGAATCCGCGACGGA